ACATTTTCCGCAAATAGAAGAAATATAAATAGTTACTACGCGATATTCAATAAAAAACAAAATAAATTATTTCACAATTTGTTAATCCGAAAGTGATTCATTTAGAAATCAACAAAACATACATATAAAAACTATTAGATAAGGTTTTAAAATAAAACTGCGAACAACCTAAATAGGGGAAATACTTGAGAATATTATTGTATTATTAAAAACAATTAAAAACTAACTACAGAATGTCTGACGACGAATCCTTTGTTATATTGGGCACATCCCCAATGCCTTCAATCAACAGCAGTCAACCAGAATCAGTTAACTCCTTTGACTCACTGCAGCGTAGTCAAATTAAAAACGAGATTAAGTTGGCAGTTGAAGACGTCTCTCCAACTTCAACTTCCTTTGACAAAGTTGCGGACAATGTGGTAGCGGAGAAATGTAAAAGTGCCGATGCTTCCATTGAAAATATAAAAACAGAAACTGAAGTTGTGGTTGAAAGCAAAGGCAAAGAGAGGAGCAAGAGTTTGGAGGAACGCATGAATAAAAGTGACGCACAATCCATACCACAGCCGGGCACCTCGGCTAACTCATCAATGGCTGCCAGTTTTCTATTGGGAGAACTCAATGCTGATGTTTTAAAGGTATATTACATATTCATAAATTAAATAATTTTGTTTAATATTCTATTTTTCTTTTCTCTTTTTGGACATTATAGACAAGCGTCTATTCACAATTTCCTAGCCTATGCTCCATGGAGGCTTGCGCTGAAGACGTTGTGAAATTGCAAAATATGATGTCAGAATACGTGGAATTGAAGCGTGAGTAGAAATTTATTTCTCAATTAAACATAAAAGTAATAAATAACTGTTTGAGCTTTTCACATTTATTCTAAATTGTGAAGAGTCTTGTCAATCTTTAGAGAATTTCCGTAACTTACACCTACTGGTAGTATGCCACTAAATCTTTGACGCTGCTTTACCAGGTCATCAAATTTTTATATGTACATGGTTATAGAATGTATACTTAGAATTTGCTTAGGTAATAGAAAATCTACCTGCGAGCTACTTGCGATTTCAAACGTATGCAATTTTTATACTAACACCAAATACTAAAAATGTGTGCAACAATTGTTCAAAGGAAATTCTCTATACAGATTTTTATTTTACAATAAAAATGTTTTATTTAAGGTTTTCTCAGAAAATTGCACACAATTTTACCTGCATTTATTTTTTGCTCTAAATTTTCTTTCACTGTAAGTACTCTTTTTCTCACTGCTTCAACTGTTGTGATTGTTGTAATATATAGAACGTGGATATCCAAAATAAATGCAGATAAATTTATCTAAATATAGATAAAACTAAATGTAGTTAAATTTATCTAAATGCAGATATCTAAATATAGATAAAACTAAATGAAGATTAATTTATGTAAATGCAGAAAAAACTCTAACGTAGATAAATTTATCTAAATATAGATAAACTAACTTACTCAAAAAGTAAAATGCAAATGCATTCTATAGCGATAAGTTCTATTGTTAATGTAGATAAATTTATCTACTTTAAAGTTTTGTCTACATTTAGATCAATTTATCTACATTTAAAATAGAACTTATTGCTATAGAATGCATTTACAACTTACATTTTGAATTTATCTGTAATTTAATGTATATAAATTTATCTAAATATAGATGAAACTAAATTTAGATTAATTATTCTACATTAAGCTACATATAAATTCAAAAAGAAAGATGTGAATTCATCTTATAGTGACAAGTTCTATTTTAAAAAGAGTTAAATTGATCTATATTTAGTTATCTAGATTTAGCTGCAGATGAATTCAAAAAGAATGATGTAAATGCATATCCCATCCCCCCGTACTTACAAATACTGTCTTTAATTTATGTAATTTTTTTTAACTGAATTTGAAATAGTTTTCTTTATCTAATCTAACTAATTACACTAGTAAATGATACCGAGTGTTTTTATATTCATGTAGCCATTAATATACTTTAAATAGTAACTAAAAACTAATTAGTTTTATATACTCATTGGTAGTACTACTAACTGATTATCATCTATATAACTTCTTATATAGCAAGGAACTATATACAGATAATATATCTATTTCTTTTACGAGAAGTGCTTCCAAGGTCTTCTTTATGTTATAGATCGCAATATTACTCAGAATGTGGGTATTTTGGTATTACTCTTAAAAGGACATACATACATTCATACAAGCGCTGTGTTATTATTGATGTGATGAAAACGCTCTCGAAAATATACACTAAACCCGCCTAAACGTGTCTATTTCTAATGTGTCCCCAAAGTGCAGCTCTACCCCCATGATGCCGTTCATTTGTTCTCTTGCCCCATTGCACACACATAAACCTCCGTCCAATCGTCCTTTAGACCCACCACCTTGAAGTGGCCAATTTTCTCCATCTGTACATGGATTGATTTTCAATTTAAATCTCACGCATATACAATCCATTCACTTTCCCTTATTGCTATCGCCCCGCCCTACTATCACCCATCCCAAACCATGTGTTCGTCTTTCAAACTCTTTTATATTATCTGCTCGGAGATTTACCGCGGGTTACAACAATAAAACATACACTTATGTTCGATTTATGTCTTGGTTCATCTATCGAAATTATGGATTATGTCATTTAACTCATTTGGGGGAGTGATTCCTAACCTTTTTTTGACCAAGAACCACTGTAATATTTTTGTTTTTAGAAGGGGACCACAAAGTTTAAGAATAATAAACTATGATTATTTTCATATGCTTTATGCTTCTGTGATATAATATATAATGAATTGTATAAGTACATAGGTACATTACATAGAGTATAAAATAGGTATATGATTACTTGGAAATTTTTTGTGCTTATTTTCTAATAAGTGAGGTCTCAGTGGATAAACTACAAGCTATGTATTTATATCTGTTGAATTTGATTCTACCGAACTACCGGTTGGGAAGCACTGATTTAGAGTAATGACACTCCAAAAAGACATTAATTATTGCTGTCGTTCCATTAATGTATTTATTTCATTATACAGACTGTTTGTACCGTTCAATTCGATATGTAGAGTTAACTAAGATAAAGGTGACTATAAATTATCATACACGTTAACATTGCATTAATGACCAAGACTTCAATTGCAATCAACAACTTCCATACTAACTCAAACCGTATTTTGTTTTATCGTCAGTTATGTGTGTTTCCAGAATTAAAGATTCTAGTATCTTCTGCTAGTTTTTATTACATATTCTAAATATCTGTAGTATATAATGTACCGTAGGGTGTACAAATCATATGTAGAAAAGTGCTAAATATCTTCTTATTTGGCCATAACAACCTGTTACCGGGTTTCGCCCTGACGCAGCATGTCTCTCCAGGCGCCTCTGCTGCGTGCGTCTATATTATACTAATACACATATATTTTTTAGAGGGCGTCAAAAAGCTATTGTGGTCCAGCCAATGCAGTGTTTGTTTTTTTCGTAGAATGCCTAACTGTGCAACCTGCTTTGAGTCCTTCTAGAAGTTCTTTAAATACTTATCTAATCACTCTATATACGTTCTCTAGAACTTGTTACTATTTCAACCTCTGTGAGTCGTTATAGCATGTTTCTTTTTTTCTAAACTGACCCAATTAGAATTCGTAGTATATTCCTTTCGAATACAACATCCTTTTCCGGTATATTAATATAAAGAAAATACTTCAGTCATTACTACTATTTTCTTTGACTATTACTTAAAATAAGGGTCTCACATATGGATTAATATTGTTAAATTTTAATTATATTTTATAATTTACTTTCAGATACTTTATCTAAGGTCAGTTTGACAATGAAGCAGTACTACGAGAGAACTACAATATGGAAAGAACAAATGCAACGTACAGAAACAGAATATAAACAGTTATTGGAAGAATGTCACAATCAAATTGCTATAGTAAGAACTATATTTTTTTATATCTTATTACGATCATTAAAATATAGATTATTTTTAACAATATATAATAATTATAAATCCTTTTTTTTTTGTATAGTTACGCAATGAAAATTTGGAACTAAAAGAAGAGTTAAAGTCAAAAATGGTTGACCTCAAATTATGCGATGACATACGTCAGAAAGATCACGAAAAATTAATTTTGACGTTATCTGAAAAAAGCTCTATTATTGAAAACATGAGAACGCAAATCGAAAAATTGGAACAACAGCAATTGGTAAAATATATTTAAATTGTTATGTTTTATATATAATAATATCTAAAACTATACTGAAAGGTTTCTACTGAAAACATTATTTTATTTTAAATGCTCTATTTTTTTTTTTTGAATATGAAAATGAATTGGAACACAAGATAAGGTTTAGATAATTTTAATTGCTAATTTACTACAATTATTTATTCATATTTGTATATAGAATGATCAAACGATCGATTTTAATACTATATTATTTTTAATTAAGCATCTTTCTTAATTAAATTTTAATTGGAATATTTAACCTTGCAAATATAAAGTCTATTGTATAGGAGTCCTGCATTTAAGTCCTGCTTCCATAATATATATATATTTTTGTTCTGTTTTATCGAGTAATAATTAATTGTCGGAAGTTATGTACTTTCTCAAGAGTTCTCTTCATTTGAGTATTAGTAAAGTGTATCTCTCCAGCATCTCGAGATATTCTCCTCCTCTTTACTTAATCTGCAGTTTCCATTAGACAAGATTTCTAGTAAATTTAGTTATTATTTCAGACTATAATATTCTAATTCTAAAGTTCTTTTTAACTAATGGTGTTCTTGATTGTTAAATCTGGGATAATTTTTTCAATCAATATGCTCTTTTAAAGCAATTTTATTTTCAATTAGTAAATCT